ATTGTATATGAGGTCCGTTAGATGTGAAACCCTCCATCCTTGGATTGTTTGGAGATAAAGTCCGTTATATGGAGGTTTCACTGTGTATGGTTCTCTGTATCTTATGTTGGTGATCCTCTTCTACAACGAGAGACGGCCCCCCACACGGGGATGACGAGGTGTTGATTGAAACTTGGGAGGGGTGGGAGTGATTGGTGAGAGAGGGAGTGGGAGGTGAGGGAGGGACGGAGGAGTGGGAGTGAGAGGAGTGGGAGGGTGAGGGAGGGACGGAGGAGTGAGGATTGTGGAGAGAGGTAGGAGGGTGAGGAGGACGGAGAGTGAGGAGTGATTGGTGAGAGGAATGGGAGGTGGGAGGACGGAGGAGTGGGAGGATTAGTGGAGAGTGGGAGGTGAGGGAGGGAGGAGGTGGAGATTGGTGGGAGAGGGAGTAGGAGGTGAGGGGGACGGAGGGAGGGAGGATTGAGTGAGGGGTAGGAGGAGGACGGAGGGTGGGGTGAGGGGGGAGTGGGGAGGGTGAGGGAGGGACGGAGGGGAGGGAGTGATTGGGTGAGAGAGAGAGATAGGAGGGTGAGGGAGGACGTGGGATGAGTGGGAGGGAGTAGGAGGGTGAGGGAGGACGGAGGAGTGGGTGATTGAGAGAGGGAGTAGGAGGTGAGGAGGGACGGAGGGAGTGGGGAGACAGGAGGGTGAGAGGAGGGGGAGGGTGACAAGGTAAACTTCCTTCCCACAGAAAAAAAGTCTCCTCAAATGCAGAGTTCAAATTTTCTTTCCTTAAGCAAGATTTATTTTGCTGGGTTGTGTGGACAGCGAGGCTCGTTAGGTGTGAAGGAAGATGGTTAGTGTACAGTGGTCTGCCCTGTGTCCGGGGTGTCATTTCTTCTTCGTCTTCTCTTTCTCTTTGTTGTTGTTCTTCTCTTCTTCCTTCTCCTCCTCCTCCTCTTATCCTTATACATAATGTCCTTCATTTCTCTCCCTTCATCCGTCATATTCATTTTATTCATTCTACACATATTAACTTTATTCATTTTTTACTCTATTTTCTGTTTCATTTTAAATATTCGTTTTAACTTTTCATATTTTATTTTATTTTATTTCGTTTATACCGTTTTTAAGTGTATTCATTTAACTCTATGCATATTTAATTATTTTCCTTTTAACTGTGTTCATTTTAACTCTGTTTGGGTTAAATATTCAGCAGCGGTTCATCGATTTGGGCGGTGGTGCATGTTCAATGGAAGGGTTGTAGTGCGTCTATTAGGGGTGTTATTGTAGAGTGAGGGGGTGTTATTGTGTAGGGGCTGAGGTGTTATTGGCAAGGGGTGGGGGTGATATTGTAGGGGTAGGGGTGTTATTGTAGGGTGGGGAGGTGTGTGGGGTAGGGGGGTGTTATTGTGCTGAGATGGGTTGTTGTTGTAGGGTGGGGTGTTCTTGAGTTGTGTCGGGTAGGGGTTGTATGTGTAAGTACAGGTTAAGGTTATTGTGGGGGTAGGGGGTTGTTATTGCAAGGGTGGAGGTTGTAGGGGTGGATGTAATTATGGGGTAGGGGTTGTTATTGTTGGGGTAGAAGTTGTTATTGAAGGGGTGGGGGTTGTTATTGCACGGTCGTTGTTAGTGTAGGTGTACTTAATGCAGAAATTAGCGGTGTCATTGCAAAAGATGGCGTTACTGCAACAAAAGAGCGTTATTGCAGACGGGCATTGTTATTGAAAGATAACCCAATTACGCTGAGACAATCACTTCCTCCTGCCTTACTGAAGAAATGGGCAGAGGTTGTAATGGTAAGAGAGGTTGATAAACTCGGTGAGAGACAAGGGGATGATGATGAAAGAGAGAGACAGCAGAGAGAAAGAGTCGCAAAACGTATAGGAAGACAATATCATCTTACACACACACACACACACACAACACACACACACACACACACACACACACACACAACACACACAACACACACACACACACCACACACACACACACACACACACACACACACACACACTACTAATCGTCAGTGTTTTGTTCAGCCACACATCAGATCACCTCTCGGGTTATTACGATAAAGCCGCAGAAGATTAAAACAATTCCCCTCACTGGCGTTATTGGGGAGAAACGAAGGGAAGGAAGAGGAGGGTAAGAGAGAGACAGACTAAAGATGGAACAGAGAGAGAGAGACAGACGAAAGATGGAGAAAGAGAGGATTGGAGAAAATACAGAGAAAGAGGACGCAGCATCTATCTATCTATCTATCTATCTATCTATCTATCTATCTATCTCTCTATTCATTCATCTATCTCTGATCACTCATTTTCCCTCACACCCCTTCCTAAACATTTAAGTCACTATTACTTACTTCCTAATACAAAGGTGGGTCGGGGCAAGAAGGTGCTATTGTAATCCGCCTTGTCGGGCCTCACTGAGCAGCTTAGGGCGATAATCCCTTTATTTGTGCTTACCATATCACTCTTCCAGTCTTAGTGCCGGGGCTTATGTTAGTGTGGCAGGGGAAGAAGGGAAATATATAGGGGAAAGGTGGGGAGGGGTGGAGGGGATGGAGGGGTGGAGGGGATGGAGGGGTGGAGAGGGGATGGAGGGGGTGGAGGGAAAGAAGAAGGGGAGAGAGAGTGAGGGCGGATAGGAGGAAGAGAAAAGGAAGAAGGAATAGGAGAGGGAGGAGAAAGAAGGTAGAGAAGAGGAGAGAAAGAACAGGAAACTAAAATAGGGAGTGAAAAGGGTAAAGGAGAGAGAGGTAAAAGAAGAGACAGTAACGAATAATGAGGGAAAGGGGAGGGAGAGATAAGATGGATGAGGTGAGGGAAAGAAGGGAGAGAAGGGAGAAGGTCATGATAAGGGATCAGAGGAGAGAATTAGGAAAGAGGAAGAGAAAGAAGGGACAGATATAACCACCACGACTGCCATCACCATCACCACCACCATCACCACCACCACCACCACCACCACCACCACCACCACCACCACCACTCACCACTACCATCACCACCACCACCACCATCACACGACGACCACCATCAACACACACCACCAACCACCTCATCACCATCACACTCACTCACCACCACCACCATCACCATCACCACCACCACACAATACCACTCACCACCACCACCATCACCACCACCACCACCACCACCACCACCACCACCACCACCACCACACTACCACCACCACCATCACCACCACCACACTGCGACGACCACCGCGACGACGACGACTACCACCACCACCACCACCACCACCACCATCACCATCACGACGACCACCATCACACACACCACACCACACCCCACCACAGTTTTGACCACTGACAGAGGTTGTAGTAGAGGACACATAATCATCATATCACAGAACAGAAACACTGACTTAACAAACCACCTGAGCAATTAAGGTCAGGGGTGATTAAGGCCTAGTTTAGAGTTGGTAATTTGGGGTTGTTTAATCTTGGTGATGGAGACAGTTAGCATCTATTGTTGTTGTGGGTAGGGGGAGAAGGGGTGGGGGTGGGAGGGGTGGAGAGGGAGTGGTGTGGGGAGGGGGTGGGAGGGGTGATGGAGAGGGAGGGGTGGGGGGAGGGGAGAGGGGGGAGGGGGGTGGATGGAGAGGAGTGGTGGGGGAGGGGGTGGAGGGTGATGGGAGAGGGAGTGGTGTGGGGAGGGGGGTGGGAGGTGGGTGGAGGGGAGTGGTGGGGGGAGGGGGTGGGAGGGTGGCTGGAGAGGGTGGTGTGGGGGAGGGGGGGATGATGAGAGGGAGTGGTGTGGGGGGGAGGGGTGGATGAGAGAGTGTGGGGGGAGGGGGGAGGGGAATGGAGAGGGAGTGGTGTGGGGGAGGGGAGGGAGGGGTGGAGAGGGAGTGGGTGTGGGGGGGAGGGGGGGAGGGTGGATGAGAGGGAGGTGGGGGGGGAGGGGGTGGGAGGTGGGTGGATGGAGAGGGAGGGTGTGGGGGGAGGGGTGGGAGGTGGGTGGATGGAGAGGGAGGGTGGGGAGGGGGGTGGGAGGGGATGGAGAGGGAGGGTGGGGAGGGGTGGGAGGTGGGTGGATGGAGAGGAGTGTGTGGGGGAGGGGGTCAATCGATCTAACTGCTGCCTTTTTTCTTTTTTCTTTTCATCCACCACCACCATCATCCCTACTACCATCCCTACCACCATCCCTTCAACAACCACTACCACAATCCCCTCACCAACAACCACTACCACAAACCCCTCACCAACAACCACAATCCCACACCTTCACCCACTACCTCCATTTCAGTGAATTTCTTTAAGATAAGTTCCACCCCAGAATATATTCACTCTTGAGTTATTCTACAAAATCACACACAGCTCAACTAACTCCTTCACACCTACTCTACAGTCTCCCGCTACATAATTCTGTTTTCCATGGTACTACATAACACAGTGAGGGATGTAGCCACAGTGAAGGGTGTAGCCACAGTGAGTGTAGCACACGGTGTAGCCAACGAGGTAGCCAGTGAGGTGTAGCCAACGTGAGGGGTGTAGCTAACATCAGGGGTGGCTAACATGTAGCCAACGTCAGTGTAGCCAACGTGAGGGGTGTAGCTAACGTCAGGGTGTAGCCAACGAGGGTGTAGCCAACGTCAGGTGAGCTAACGTCAGGGTGTAGCCACAGTGAGGTGTAGCCAACGTCAGGGTGTAGCTAACGTCAGGGTGTAGCCGCTAACGTCAGGGTGTAGCCAACGTCAGGGTGTAGCCAACGTCAGGGTGTAGCCAACGTCAGGTGTAGCCACAGTGAGGGTGTAGCCACAGAGGGGTGTAGCCAACGTGAGGGTGTAGCCAACATGAGGGTGTAGCCACAGTGAGGGTGTAGCCAACGTCAGGGGTGTAGCCAACGTCAGGGGTGTAGCCAACGTCAGGGGTGTAGCCAACGTCAGGGGTGTAGCCGACGTCAGGGGTGCCAACGTCAGGGGTGGAGCCAACGTCAGTGTAGCCAACGTCAGGGGTGTAGCCAACGTCAGGAGTGTAGCTAACGTCAGGGGGTGTAGCCAACGTCAGGTGTAGCCAACGTCAGGGTGTAGCCAACGTCAGGGGTGTAGCCACACAGGAGGGGGTGTAGCCACAGTGAGAGTGTAGCCAACGTGAGGGGTGTAGCCAACATGAGGGGTGTAGCCACAGTGAGGTGTAGCCAACGTGAGGTGTGGCCAACGTGAGGTGTAGCCACAGTGAGGGTGTAGCCACAGTGAGGGTGTAGCCAACTGAGGGTGTAGCCAACGTGAGGGGTATAGCCAACTTGAGGTGTAGCCACAGTGAGGGGTGTAGCCCAGTGAGGGTGTAGCCAACGTGAGGGGTGTAGCCAACGTGTGGTGGTGTAGCCAACGAGGGGGTGTAGCCAACGTGAGGTGTAGCCAACGAGGGGTGTAGCCAACGTGAGGGGTATAGCCAACTGAGGGTGTAGCCAACGAGGGGTGAAGCCACAGTGAGGGTGTAGCCACAGTGAGGGGGTAGCCAACTTGAGGGTGTAGCCAACGTGAGGGGTGTAGCCAACGGGGTGGTGTAGCCAACGTGACGGGTGTAGCCAACGGGTGGTGTAGCCAACGTGAGGTGTAGCCACAGTGAGGGGTGTAGCCAACGTGAGGGTGTAGCCAACGTGAGGGGTATAGCCAACTGAGGGGGTGTAAGCCAACGTGGGTGGTGTAGCCAACGTGAGGTGTAGCACAGTGAGGGTGTAACACAGTGAGGGGTGTAGCCACAGTGAGGGTGTAGCCAACCTGAGGGTGTAGCCAACGAGGGGTGTAGCCAACGTGGGTGGTGTAGCCAACGAGGGGTGTAGCCAACGTGGGTGGTGTAGCCAACGAGGTGTGCACAGGAGGGGTGTAGCCAACGTGAGGGTGTAGCCAACGAGGGGTATAGCCAACCTGAGGTGTAGCCAACGTGGGTGGTGTAGCCAACGTGAGGGTGTAGCCACAGGAGGTGTAGCCACAGTGAGGGGTGTAGCCAACGTGAGGGGTGAAGCTAACGTCAGGGGTGTAGCCAACGTAAGGGTGTAACCAACGTGAGGGGTATAGCCAACCTGAGGGGTGTAGCCAACGTGGGTGGTGTAGCCAACGTGAGGGGTGTAGCCAACGTGAGGGGTGTAGCCAACAGTGAGGGTGTAGCCAACGAGGGGTGTAGCCACAGAGGTGTAGCTAACGGTGAGGGTGTAGCCACAGTGAGGTGTAGCCAACGTGAGGGTGTAGCCAACGTGGGTGGTGTAGCCAACGAGGGGTGTAGCCAACGTGAGGGGTGTAAATAACGAGGGGTGTAGCCAACGTGAGGGTGTAGCCACAGTGAGGGTGTAGCCAACGTGAGGGGTAGCTAACGAGAGAAGCCAACGTGAGGGTGTGAGCCAACTGAGGGTGTAGCCAACGTGGGTGGTGTAGCCAACGTGAGGGGTGTAGCCACAGTGAGGGGTGTAGCCAACGTATGATGATTCAACCCTTTATGTATGATAACATAACCCTTGTTTAGCGACAATGTTTGCAAATACGTGTCTGAGTTTGTTTGTTTACCTGCCGTGTTTTTCCACCCAGGCTTGTACATGTTTTTTTGTGTTTTTTTGCTGGCACTGTCACGAAGCATCGCATTAATCTGTTTGTTTTTTTTTTGAAAAATACCCCCGCCCCCATACTACATTATGGTGGGGGGAGGGAGAATGTGGTGAGAGGTGAAGAGGGGTGTGGGGGCGGTGGGCATGTTGTGGGTGGGAGGTAGGGGGGAAGGTACTTGACCCTTCGGCTAATGATGTAATTATATTGTGTGTGTGTGACTGTCTTTTAAAATTAGACAGAGAGACAGACAGACACAGACCTATATATAGAGACAAACACAGAAAGACACACACACACACACACACACACACACACACACACACACACACACACACACACACACACGCCTACACACACACACACACACTCCTACTCACACACACACATACACATTCACACACACACACACACACACACACACACACACACACACACACACACACACACACACACACACCACACACACACACACACACACACACACACACACACACACACACACACACACACACACACACACACACACACACACACACACACACACACACACTGACAACATAAGCAACAAGGCACAAATATACCTGTACAGTAGACACAGGTAATCTAGTCTAGCTGATGACAAAGTACATTACATGAACATTACATAAACATTACATAATCTCCGTTACATTCGTCTGATTACATAAACGGATGATAGTTTGTAATCAGGAACGTAATAAGTTATATACACACTCAAATCTTCGCTTATTACATGTAAATTTTGAACTTATTCCGTGTAAGTAATAAGAAGAGGCGTGGGTGTAAAGTTTGCTGTGGTGTGGCTGTTGTTGTTTTGGGTATTACTGAGCTCTGATTGGGTCTTTAAGCGCATGGTTTAGGTTAGGTTAGGTTAGGTTAGGTTAGGTTAGGTTAGGTTAGGTTAGGTTAGGACGTAGACACTGACGGGCACAAACAGACACATACACAGACAAACAAAAAAACACAGGCGAGACAGAGCGACACACCCACACACCCTTTATATAAACATCAACACAACCAAGATAACATATTAGACCTTAACGAGAGGCAGCAGAAGGGTGTAAATACATCATCAGCTTAACACAATTACAATGACATATAGCAATCAGTTTCATCTGTCTGTCTCCAGCAAGGTGTCACGTAAGCCTATACACATTATTTCCTCTACGTTTATTTGTTATTTAATCTCTCCTTTATCTCTTTTCTTGTCTCCTCTTAATAACAACAACAACAACAGTAATAATAATAATAATAATAATAATAATAATAATAATAATAATAATAATAAGAGCAACAATAAAACAACTGCACTCCTCCTGTACCCAAATTGGTGCACCAGAACCGCTTGTCGTCGGAGTACTGTATGTCGCCTGAACAACATTTGACCAAAACCATTGTGTCCGGCACCGGCTCACAACACCCACGACAACAGTATCCGAATCATGGAGGCTTTGTGGTCGAGCTCGTAAACCCAGCAGGAGCAAGCTAAGAGATCTCCCAGCCCAGCAGGAGACCCCTGGAGACCTAGAGGAGAGAAGGTGGTGGTGAGGGGCAGCAGGGAGTCGGGTAGAAGCTCCAGGGAACAGCAGGAGGGCGTCTGAAAGCTCCGCGTGTTACCCGAAAAGGATAATTATTTGAGGCTGTGAGAATCAATGAGAGTCCGGGTGAGATCTCCTGAACCTTCCAGAGTCCGGGTGAGATCTCCTGAACCTTCCAGAGTCCGGGTGAGATCTCCTGAACCTTTCAGAGTCCGGGTGAGATCTCCTGAACCTTCCAGAGTCCGGGTGAGATCTCCTGAACCTTCCAGAGTCCGGGTGAGATCTCCTGAACCTTCCAGAGTCCTGGGTGAGATCTCCTGAACCTTCCAGAGTCCACGTCAGGTCGCCAACACCACTAAGCGTAGAATCCAAGCCTCACTTCCTGTACAGTATAAGTGGAACAATGTGAGCCAGGAGGAGCCACCAGGGTAACGTCTTGCTGATCTACGTCACCTCGAAGCCTCTCACGCTGATGCTCTTTTGTTTATCCTTTTGTTTTCTCGTCTATTTATGTCTTGTTGTTTCCCGTTTATCTTACTCGTTATAGTTGTTTCCTTAAGTTACTTCAGTAAATAAAAAGGGACTTGTTTTTGTTGTATTATGCAGTAGAATTCCCCCCCTCCGTAACATTGATCTTGTCACCCGCCAAGTCTGTTTACACTTGTTTAGTGGTACGAGGATATGGGGGAGATGACAACACTGCTATTCCTTGTATCCTTCCTGTCGGTGCCTTTCTATAGAGGACCTCGGAGGGGTGAGTAGTGGGGGCTACGACGATGGTGGGGGAGGAGGAGGTGTAGGGGAGAGAAAGGGGAGGAGAGGGGGAAGAGGTGTAGGGATGGGAGAAGGATGAGGAGGAGGGGTGGGGGAAAGGGAAGGAGGGTGTCCTGGGTGTGGGAGAGGGGGAGGAGGAGGTGAAGGAGGTGTGAGGAGTGGGAGAGGGGGTGTTTGGAGGAGTACGGATGGTAGGAGACTCCCCACCCACTCCTCGACGCCCCAACATTAGTCTATTGTGTGACCAGAACTTCCCTGAACAGCAGCAGGACAAACAAGGAAGTCGTTCCCTCTTCCTGGTCTTTGAGGGAGGAATGAAGGAGAGATGGAGGGAGGAAGACGTGAGACGGGAGGAGTTTTTTTACAAGATGGTGGAACATGGGGGTGGGGGGGTGACCTCCTGATGGGGACCTCCTGATGGGGACCTCCTGATGGGGACCTCCTGGGGGACCTCCTGGCGGTGACCTCCAGGGGGACATCCTGACGGTAACCTCCTGGGGGTTCCGGACGAGGTCATCCTGACGGGGACCTCCTGAGGACCTCCTGGGGGACTTCCTGACGAGGTCATCCTGAGAGTGACCTCCTGGGGGTTCCTGACGGTGACCTATTCGGGGACCTGATGGGGACTTAATAGGGACCCCCAAACAACTGCAGAGGTCTTAATGAGGACCTTCTGTCTAGGCTCTCTCTCTCTCTCTCTCTCTCTCTCTCTCCAAAGTACATCATCTCACTCAGTCTGTAAATGACGTTGGTGTTGTACTACTCCCAGTCACGACACTACCAGGTTAACCCAGACTGTGATCCTGTAAGAGGAGAAGGAAGAAGGGAGGGGAGGATGAGGGGAAGAAGAGGACGAGGGTAAGGGTAAAGGGAGGATGGAAAGAAGAGCACGAGGAAGGAGGAGGAGGAGAGTAGGAAGGGGGGGGGGTATCTCGGTGTCAGTGATAAGCGATGTCTTGGGTCTTAAAGAAACACAGACAGTGGACGATCCCAGAACCGAACATTAAAACTTTCATCTTATCTTTTTTCTTCTCTTTCTCTCTTCTTCCTCTTCCTCTTTTTCTTGTGCAAATATTCCATTGTCGAGCAAAAATATAAGTTGCCGTCTCAGCTTTTCTATTTCTTCTTTGTTTTTCCTTCTTTTCTTCTTTTTATTCATCCGTTTCTTCTCCTCATACAAGATTCAAGTTTAGGTTCACCTGGACAGTATCCATCCCAGCTTATTTTACTTTAAGATTGACCAACCTAACCTAACCTAACCTAACCTAACCCAACCCTTTATTCTAACGGAAATCCACAGCAACGAATCAACATCATTGAAATGCATACACTAAATGCGCTGCAACACGTACAACAAAAATAGAATCACGAAATTATTGCACAAAGCAGCAGCAACAGAACCACATAGCGGGATTGCAATGTTTTCACCCAAATTAGTCGCACTGTATTGTAACACAACACAACACACAAATGCCATATTTTCTACGGAATTGCAAATGTATGTTTTCACTGTATGAAAAACAAGGGTATTATCTTTTTAACTGTGTGTGTGTCTATGTGTGTGTCTGTGTGACTGTCTTTGTGTGTGGGTGTGTCTGTCTGTCTATCTCTGTTTGTGTGTGGGTGTGTATGTCTGTATGTCTGTGTGTACGTGTCTGTCTATCTGTTTGCGTGTATCTATGTATGTGTTTATGCTTGTACATGTGTGTATATGTTTGGATGTTTATATACATTATGTCTGTCTGTGCGTCTGTTTGGTGATACGATAATATATATATATATATATATATATATATATATATATATATATATATATATATATATATATATATATATATAGTAAACAAGAAAAACAATAAAAACAAACAACAGAAAATACCAAAGAATAAATATGAAATAAAAAAATCAATGGATATTTAAGACAGAAAACAAATATAAATAAATAATAATGACTAAAACCCGTTGGAGAAGAAGAAGGTAAGAGAGAGAGAAATAGAGTAAACATACAGAGGCAGACATAGATGGTATTGCCCCCCTCAATTTCACCCCCCCCTTTTGATGCCCAGTGACACCCCTGTGACCGATGACTCTGTATAGGAGGGGGAGGGGGTGCGTCTCAGAGTGTGTGGACAGGGAGGGAGGAAGGGAAATAGGGTGGGTGAAGGGGTGGAGACCTTATGGTGTGGGCGGGGGAAGGGTGGGTGTCTGCGGTATGGGCGGGGGAAGGGTGGGTAAGTCTCATGGTGTGGCGGGGAAGGGTGGGGTGTCTTTATGGTGGGCGAAGGTGGGTGGCCCGGCGGTGGCGGGAAAGAGGTGGAACGTGCGGTGTGGGTGGAAGGATGTCCTGCGGTGGGCGGGGAAGGGTGGTGGTCTTATGGTGTGGACTGGAAGGTGGGAAACCGTGGCGTGGGCGGGGAAGGGTGGGTGTCTCTGGCGGTGTGGGCGGGGGAAGGGTGGTGTCTCATGGTGTGGGCGGGGAAGGGTGGGTGTTTGTGGTGTGGGCGGGGAAGTGGAGGTTTCGTGGTGGGGAAGGGTGAGGTTTCGTGGTGTGGGCGGGGAAGGGTGGGTGTCTCATGTAAGTGGGGAAGGGTGGGTGTCTCGTGGTGTGGGCGGGGAAGGGTGGGTGTCTCGTGGTGTGGGCGGGGGAAGGGTGGGTGTCTCATGGTGGGCGGGGAAGGGTGGGTGTCTCGTGTGGGCGGGAAGGGTGGGTGACTCATGGTGTGGGCGGGGAAGGGGTGGGGTGGTCTCGCGGGTGGGTGGGCGGGAAGGGTGGGGTGTCTCTGCGGTGTGGGCGGGCAGAAACTGAGACTGGGAGATATTAAAGTGAAGAAAATAAATGATGACAAGTGACAAGAAGAATGAACGGGAGAGAGAGATGGATGAAGGGAGGAGAGAGACAGAGAGATGTAGATATACAAGATGAGTGAAAATTAGAGAGAGACAGACAGAAAAAAAGATAAAAAATAGAAAGAAACAAAAAGAAAGAAAGAAAGAAAAGTAGAGAAAAAGAAAAGAGATAAACAAAACAAAAATAGAGAAAGAACAGATTAATTTAGTTATTGGCTGATCTTCCCCATACTCCACTTCATCACCCTCCTCTTTCTCCTTCACCAAAATTACTTTTTTTTTTATGGTTTCTCTCTCCTGCCTTTTCTTCCCTCCGTGTCCATTCCTCTCCTCTCCTTCCCTCTCCCTCTCCCCCTTCCTCCCTCTCCCGCTGCCTCCCTCCTCTCCCTACTCTCCCTCCCTCCTCTCCCTACTCTCCCTCCCTCTCCCTAGTCTGGACAACAAGGGTGGTGATCAGGGCGGAAGTATCCAAGTTGTATGTGATCAAGGCGAGATGTCTTCCTTTTCCTCCTCTCCCCTTCTCTTCTCCCTTCTCTCCCTCCTCTTCTCCCTTTGCCTTCCTCTTCTCCCTTTGCCTTCCTCTTCCTTTCTCATCTCCCCCTTTCCCCGGTTCCCCTTATCCTCCATGTGTGTTGATGGTGGGTTAGTGGGTGTGGTAATGGTGGGTTAGTGGGTGTGGTAATGGTGGGTTGTTGGGTGGATTGATGGTGGGTTAGTGGGTGTGGTAATGGTGGGTTGTTGGGTGGATTGATGGTGGGTTAGGGGGTGGGTTAATGGTGAGTTAGTGGGTGGATTGATGGTGGGTTAGTGGGTGGATTGATGGTGGGTTAGGGGTGGGTTAATGTTGGGTTAGTGGGTGGATTGATGGTGGGTTAGGGGTGGGTTAATGGTGAGTTAGGAGTGGGTTCATTTAAACAATTGTCCTAAAAAGGGCATCAGCTGCTACCCCTCCAAAAAAGAATTATAATTTTTTCGTCATTAAATCTCATTAATATTTTCCCAACCAGACAAACACACACACGTCACCAGATGTCTATTTATCGCCCGTATATTAACCATCAAAGTCTATATATTTTTTTATAGGATGAACAATAATGTTTTTTTTTTTTACATCTAAAACATCATATTAATAAAAAAGAACTTCAGTGCTAAAACGACATATACTGAACAGCTCTCCTTTATAAAAAAAATAATAACAATTATATAACGTAATTCTCGACCCTGTATAAAAAATTA